AGTAGTTGGAGTACTGGTAGTAGTTGTTGCAGGTACAGTAGTTGGAGTACTGGTGGTAGTTGTTGTGGTTATTATTGGTCCTATGAACAGTCAGAATTAGAGGTTATAGCTCAGTTACACTGATCCAGTAAATTAGATTTAAATGTGGCTGAAATGGTGAAGGACTCTACTCACCGTTTGCAACAGTCACAGCGACACATCGAAGCTCTGAGTGATACTTGGTCCCACTGCAGAAATAAGTGCAAGTTTCTTTTTCAAATATACCTGTTCAACACTCCTTAAGGGATTCTGATGATGATGGTTAGATCACAAGACAAAATTCACACAGACACACTGCACTCAAAAAGAAAAGTTAACAATAAATGGAAATCTGATGGTTTGGTAAAAACTGCTCTTGAGAAGTGAATGTAATTATTTCAGTAAAAATGGTTGTGTAAAAGATCAGCGAAGCCAAAATGTTTTCAAGGTAAATGTGATAAATTTGATCAAAACACAACAAATATGACAAAAAAAAATGACTTAAAGCCTTTTTAGAAAATAACGTGATTGAGCGATGCCAAGGCAAATCATGATAAAGTTTAATGTTTCATTATATAACCCTTCAATCACATGACAACTTCAAGTTACTTAACCAGGGACACTTTGTATTTTAATCGAGCATGTTTTCAAAACATGGAAGGTTCCTGGTTTATATGTTGCCTTCTGACAACAACTGTAATCTCAAAAGATAAAAAATATTATAACTTTCTACAGAGTATGAAACATGAGACTGACTTGAAAACTGCCTGGACAACAAAACAGATGGGGAGGGTTTGTCCATCTTCACTTTCAGATGGTGTCCATCTCAGGATGAACTGTCCAGGTCCTGATGTACTACTGATGAAATTGTACGGCCCGCTGTAGAGCAGCTCAGAGATCCTTCAACAAACACAAAAATCCAAAATTTGTAAATTTTCTTTTCCCAAAATCTCCACGTCTGCAAAAGGAGCCTATTTCTTTTGTTTCTTTTATCTAGTCATGTTTTTTTCTCAAACCAACCAACGATGGAAATGTTTCTTGTTGGTAACTTTCAATGTTTATTATCGTTGTTTTACCTAATCTTTAAGTATTTATGTCCTTAAATCTGTATGGTTTTGGCTGTGTTTCACTTACTGTGTCGTCTAAATTGACACCTGACTGTAATCTTGTACATCAGCACTGGAGTTTTTTATTACTAAAGATCTGGTCAGATATGTAACTTAATAACCTGAAACATATTTTAGATTTGCACATCACTCATTTCTATTAGATTCATGACTTGTAGGACTATATTTTATATCTACCTAGAGGCTGCCCTGAAATAAATATTTTACCGTTTCAGGCAAAGTCTTTTTTTTTTTTTTCGTTTTTACTTACGTGGAGTTAAGTGCCTCTGCATTGATGTTAATTTCCAGAGTCTGACTGACATTGTTGTAGAGCTGAGCTCCGTTGGCTGGTGTTGGAGGAAGAAACTTGGGCAGAAAGAGTCCTTCTGTGCAGGATGGCACTGCAGGATCAACTGGAAGAATACAGAGAAGTTAAGGTGATTCTCACAGGATGGAAAGATGATCCAAGGTAAATTTTGTCATAGTCATGAGTCTGATGACTTTGTGTTTTGTTTATTTATAATATTTTATGTTCTTGTTTATTCTGTTTGTGTCTTTCATTAAGATTTGCCATTTGTTTGGTTTCTGTTCTGTGCCTGCCCTGGTGCCACTTCTCTGTGTTCGTACGACACTGTGTTCTGTTACCCAACTTGCCTGCCTGTTAGTTTTGCTTTCCGAGATTAGTTAGTTTTCTGTTCTGTCTGCAATCTTACAATAATGCCGCATGTTTTGAGTTCACTTTGCCTCCTCGAGTTCAGCTCTCAGGTCCACTATTCCTGCTTATCTTCAACAGCCATGACAAATATCTGCTGGACAGATTAATATTTGTTGGTCCAGAGAATCAGTCTTGATTACACTGGTGGTCAAACATCTCTGTACATCAGGCCGAGCACTAAGTTCATCAGCAGCAGCTCTTTAGTGCTTTCATTGTAAGATAATGAAACGTATATTGGTACCTTTCAAAGCAAACTGAATCGGTATTTTGCTGATGGCATCGTTGGTAGTTATTGTTGTTTGTGTCCCGTTGGTTTGAGTCAGAGTGATGGTCTGTCTGGGGAAGTCCTCCATCACCAGCTGTACTACATACGAACCTTCATTACTGCTGCTGGTGGGGCTGAATGACAGAGTACAAGAGGACTGCAAGAGGACGAAAATGGGTTTGAAGTCAAAATAACCAAAATGTTTTCTGTTATGCAATTCAATTCAAGGATATAAAAAATGTAGTTGTTGTTTGTTTTGGATAAACTTTCACTTCTACAAAATTTAGATCAATTGTAATTCAATTAAAAAAATTCCCATCACATTATTGCATGACTGTCTGTGCCAGCTTTTAGTCTTTGCCTGTCTCATCTGACATGAGAGTAACAATCATTGCTCACAGATGAGAGGCTGAGGACAGACGGTGGAGTGCAGGGGTTACACTCTGAGAGTGCAGAGTTTCCATATCTGCATTTAACTTCGTCTCCATCAGGGTCAAACATCAACAGGCTGAAATCTCTCTGACAGTTTGAAGGAACTCTGAGAGAGAAACAAAGATTGTAGCTCTATTTGCTGTATTCATTTCGATGTAAAGAACATTTGATAAATACTTTGTTAAATACATTTTAATATGAAAAGGGATGAATGTAAAATATGAACTATAAAAGAAAACTAGGCAAACATAGACACACATTAAGTGGGCTTACCCCACAGCTGGTAGGATGGTGGTCTGAGGTGATGTGTTGGCTTTGCCAGTGTCGGACCGGTTCCTCAGTTCCACCCGAGTCACAGCTCTCCATGATATGATGTTATTGATGTTTGATATCCAGTTACCACTATTCAACCTTGATAGAAAATTCAGTTCAGTTCAAACTCTGAAGACAACATGTTTTAGTAAATTATTAGTTATGAGTCACCAAAAAGATTATGATTAGTGAAGTTGCTGATGTTTTGGGGAATTTTTTTTGTCACACTTAAATTACTTTTCCTGTTGTTGTACACTCACCAAAGCTCGAACAGAGCATTGCTGGAAACCCGTCGAGTCATGATTCCCTCTCTCTGACACCAGTCTCCGCTGCTCTCCTGTTTTACCACATGTAGTGTGTAGGTTCCAGTCCCACAATCACCACTGAGGCAACTCCATGTGGTATCAGATGTGCAGTCGTGGAAGTTCAACTTATACCGAAGAGTCACCTTTAAATTTACAGCCACAAAGTGTTCACTTAGGTCTTGTAAGATTTTTAAAAGTAAGTACATTATTTTAAGAAAGAAAATGTACTCACTGTGACAGATCCATCTGCAAAAGTGTCCTTTGGGTAGTAGGTCATGACTGTGCCTAAAAAATGTGAAGCCTGAGTGGCGCAAACCATCAGCAGCACCAAAGATGTCTCAGAGAGCAACATGTGTGTGTCTCTCTCTACAAAGGCAGAAATCACTGTCAACATGAACACCTGTACTTCCAAAGACAGCCTCACTTTCACTCTCTGTCCTTTTGTCTGATGTTTTTTCCCACATGGAAGTTGATTCAGTTTGTAAACCAGAAAATTACCTGGAATGAGGAAACGCCTATTAGAACAGAGGTTCCCAAAGTGTGGGGCCCGCCCCCTAAGGGGGGCCCAGAGCCATTACAGGGGAGGCACGTTATGAAAAAAAAAGAACTCTTGGACACTGTTAGCATAATGGACAGGTTTGTGACGGGACTGCTACACAAACACAAAGCAGGAGATGAAGCATCGCCAAATATGTTTCCAAACCAATTTCCTTCCAAGCCAAAGACTAGAAAATCAGACTAGAAATCAGGGATTTCTGTGCACAACAGATCACAGAGGGTTGAACCTCCATGCTTCATTAATGTATGTTGTTTACATTTGGATGCATGTGGGAATATATGCATTCTAATATGCTTTCCTTAAGAGGTGAAACGTGCCAAACCGCAATGGATATTTCCCATTCTGCAAACTGCTGCTAAATGGTTTAAGCTTGTTTGTCCTGGTGCTGGTATTTGGGTAACCTGTATGAATTCCAGGCATTGTAATATAAACAGCACATTCAAAATACTGAAATTTTCTGTTGTGTCTTACAGGAAAGTTGGAAACATTAGGACCTTTTCAACAAAGTAATTTGCATTCATTGGTTAACTTTGCAAGATATTTCTGTTTACTCTGTGATGACCTTAAACATCTCCCAAGTAAATCATCTCTCAGGACACTGTGAAGCCAGCAACAGTCATAGAAACATTTATTTAGTATATTACATTAACTGATCTAATAAATCAGAATCTTTAGAAAATCACATTAAAGTCTTACGCTAGCATTATACTCAATGTTTGCTGTACATTTCATTTCTAAATAAAGGATTATCAGTGTGTCGTACTCACAGTTTCCTATCCGGTCCGCAGAGCTGTTCAGAGAGTTGTTATCAGATCTGGATTACAGTGAAGAGCTCAGCTGACTGTGAATCAAACAGAGAGCTGTTGTTTTTACACTTTATGGCTACAAACTAATGTGTATGCAAAATGTATAGCCAATGGAAAAATCTTCCTCCTCAAACAGCCAAAACAAGGAAATAACCCTACTTTTGCCTGGATGATCTCAGCTGGTGACAGCTGTAACCAAATGAGCCATTTGCCTGGAATTAGATAAACAGAAAGCTGATCGCCTTCTCCTTTCACTTGCTCAAGTCTTCCAATCAAAAGCCAGTATTCCTGACTTGCATGTGATGTTGCAGAGGTGCATCAACCACGATGGCCTCACAATATTTTGTGGGTCTCTAGGTCTCTAGGAGAATCTCCTCGGGGACAGCTGCCAGGGAGTTTTTAACTACCTTTGGAGAGAGGAAATAATCAGATTAAAGAGGTGTGAAAGCAAAAAGTTAAGAGGAAAAAAAGCCTTTTTTAACTGTTTCACTCATGCTCACAGGGCCTGTTCAGTTCACTAAATCTAAATCTTAAAGCTTACAGCTCCTTCCGGGGGGGTTGGGAAAGGATGCTGCTTCGCTCTTTGGCTGTAAATCCCTGTTCTCTTTCATGGCAGAATTATCTACATATCCATATATATTACAGGTGTATTTCAGAGAAGTCCTGGTGAGTTCATGGAACCAGATTTTAGCTTGGCAAATCTTCAGGTGACTCAGAATGCAGAAGCATTTTCCTACCCACGCTGTATATGTTGGGATGGTGGTGAAAGTGGTTTAATAATAAAGTAATAAAAATAAAAAATAAAGTAATTAATTTAAAATAATGGTAGATAGTTTTTAGAGAATTTTAGGTTCTCCAGAATTGCAGGGGAAAGCCCTATAATCTACTTTAAAAGTCTGTAGCTCTGTCCACCGTTTTGTGATATGAAAATTCATCAATACATCTTCCAGCAGTAATGTCATTGAGGCTTGAGATCCTGGTGGAAGTGACATCAACATTGTGGTCTGGTCCTCTGGGATATTATGCATAAAGTTTACCATTTTAAAAAAGGCTTGCTTTCATTTCTTTTTTGAAACCTTACATACGGTAAACTTATGGGTCAATTGGCTTTTTTGTATTTAGCTTTTAAACTTTTTAACATGTATTTCTTCTAATGAAAACATAATTAGTGAGGTAATTTCCTGTCACATATCGAGGCCCACCTATGTGTCTGCACTTATTTGCTCTGAAATGTGAGTTATAAGTATTCAAATTTTCTTTTAGATTTCCGGTTTCCACTTTAATGAAATGTCAGGAAACCAATTCTCACTCAGCAGCACAGTTAGCTAACAATTAACGAGCTAATACTTAACAAACTAACTAAACCACTTCACCAAGTTAGCTGATTGAGTTCATTACAGTAGCTGCAAAAGAATTTTTCTCCATCCATTCATCCATTTTCTTCCGCTTATCCAGGGCCGGGTCGCGGGGGCAGCAGCCCAAGCCCAGACCTTCCTCTCCCCAGCCACCTCCTTTAGCTTATCTGGGCGAACAATAAGGTGTTACCAGGCCAGCCAAGACATATAATCTCTCCAGCGTGTCCTGGGTCTGCCCCAGGGCCTCCTCCCGGTGGGACATGCCCGGAAAACCTTAACCAGGACCACATCATCTGCGAAAAGCAGAGATGAGATCCTGAGAAGTGGAAGCCTTCCGCCACTTGGCTACGCCTAGAAATTCTGTCCATAAATGTTATGAACAGAATTGGTGACAAAGGGCAGCCCTGGCGGAGACCATCTCCCACCAGGAACGAGTCCGACTTATTGCCGGCTATACGGACAAAGCTCTCGCAATGGTCATATAAGGACTGAATGGCCCATAGCAATGGGCCAGACACCCCATACTGCCGGAGCACCCCTCACAGGACCCCTCGAGGGACACGGTCGAATGGCAAACTCCCATGCGCGGTTTGTGTGTCCCAGGGGCTATTTTATCTGGGGGATTTTGCCCCCTGGTAGGGCCTCCCATGGCAAATTGGTCCTGGGTGAGCGACCAGACAAAGAGCGATTCAGAAGATCCCTATAAAAAGACCATCGAGGGAACAGTTCACCCTGCCCGGGATAGGGTTACCGGGGCCCCGCCCTGGAGCCAGGCCCATGGAGGGTGCCCAAAGGCAAGTGTCTGGTGGCCGGGCCTTAGTCCATGGGGCCTGGCTGGGCACAGCCCAAAAAAGGGACATGGGCCCATCTTCCTGCAGGCCCACCACCCGCAGGAGGCACCATAGGGGTTAGGTGCTATGTGGGTCGGGGGGCAGCCAGGAGCGGAGACCTTGGCGGACCGATTCCCGGCTACCAAGACTGGCGATTGGGAAGAATTTTTCTTCTTCTGAAAAGAAAAACTTGCATACATGACAAAAACATTACAATTTGAATATATTCACAATTTTCCTGAATGATTTTATGTAAGCTGAAACTTTCAATCATGTACTATATGCAAGTATATGAAAAAAATTAATAAATCAAAAAAAGATCTGATCTAAATTCAGATCCATATGTCTATTTTTATATGGTATAAAAAGCATATGCATATCTAAATAATATTTCAAATAAAGTATAAAGCCATCTTTTTATGTATATTTCCAAGCTCATTGTGCCACAAAAATAATTTCATTAAAAATTCAATTTGTAAATTTTTACAAATCTAAACTTGCTTCAAACCTTCTCTAGAAAACTTACTGAAAAACTACCAAACTAAAGTGAACACATTTTCCTGCAGTGCATTTTGATAATTCACTCAATAAATAATAATAACTAAACCCTTTTTTTATTACTGTGTTATTTTGACTTATTTGCCATGATTTTTCCACAAATGGATAGACCCCCCCTTAAACATAATTTATAAGAACGCCCAGAAGAGAGACTCTTAAAGCTTTTTGCAGATAGTGTGTTATTTACCACAAAGTGATTCAAAGTTATTCATACCAGAGTAACCAGAGAGGATCATATATTTTTCTACAGGACTGAATATAATATCTTTATGTAAAAGTCCGGAGCCTCTGGGGAGTATCCGAGTATTTATAACATTACACAAACCAAAGGTCTCCATCACAGTGTTCATGAAATGCTGGGTTTATCCATCTCCTGGGGCGGGCCTATGGAGGAGTGCTGAAGATTTCCCTGTGAGGGAGCTGCTGGTGAAGGTCATGAGTCCTGTTGATCAATGCGATGAGCTTCAGTGTTCCTTGTGTTTCTTAAATGATGCCTCTCTCAGTGGGTCAACAGAACTTCTGGCACAGGACAACTGTGATGAAAGAAAGGGAAGAAGTTTCTCCAAACCTCTGGACCCAGGAAACCCAGCTTGGTCCTGATGGTCTCCCTCACTGGTTTCTCCCCAGGGTGAATCTAGCTGTTAATATAACATGGACTGTATTATTAAATGAAAAGAACAAATAACACTACGCTACTTAAACCTCATGCTGCTGTTTTTAAAGTTTCCATGTTACCAGGTTGTAGAGGGCTCTGAAGATTTAAACCATTACACTCACAGTCTTAAATGTTAACATCTCAAAGGACAGCATTACATTTTTGATATTAACAGTAACTCTGGGCCTCTGTAGAGTGTGCAGATGATCTCATTGCTGTTTAAAAATAGATAACAAAACCTAAGAAGTCCTGAATCATTCAATAACACAGACTATTAGAGTAACAGGTGTAAAATAAGGAGGGGATGTTTTTCTCATTATCATTTAATATTTTAATATGGCATTATTAGTTCATTAGAAGTATATAACCAGCTTTGCATTAAACATAAATTGAAGTTTTTGACCTTACATTATCTTTTGCATTTACAGTGATGGCTATAATTTCAGTTTGATCTTTTTCCTTGCAGGTACCAGAATAATAACATGATTTTCCATTGCAGATGTAACCCTGATCATTCCATACACATTGCAGTTTGTTGCTTATTCTAGAGTTGTGCTCAAGTTGATTAAAGGTTAAAAGCTACAGCCAGCGCGAGTCTGGCTGATCTATGGAGGGCAAAGGCGTTGAGCTTGGAAGGCCGCACGCGCTTACACAGCACTTATAAGATGTTATTCTTGGTGATTTTGTGCTTAGTCATGTTTTAATATGTTTTAAGTAGAAGTAGCTGATCCAGCAATATTAATTTAATATTATATACTTGATTTAGAGCAATACACACTGATGGTCTT